AAGCAGATGGATGTGTCGACACTGAATAGCTGCTTCTGCAATAAGTTTCCCGAGACTCGCGTGGCTGAGCTGTTTCCACCTTTCTTGTTTTTTTTTTTCTTTTCCCATCTTCCCGTCCTGTGCAGTGCTGCTCTCAGGCTGTTGTTTGCTCCCTCCTCTCTGCTGGCTGCTCTCTGCTTCACCAGTGTATTTGCTCGTTCCTTCATAAGTACTTGAGCTCATCCCTCGCAGCACCTATAAAGACAGCACCGAGACTTTGCTTTTGCTTGGATGAACGTGCCGTTTCTGCCCCTCGCTGCTCCGTTTCATCTGACTATGACAGTACGATGATGTAATGCGGGACAACAGGCAGGGCTTGGAGATCTGTGTCACGGCGTCTGACCTTATTTTGCCACATCTGTGTGTGTGCATGTCTGTGTGTGTGTGTGCATTTTGTTGGCGTACGTGTCGGTAACGTGTCCACGCTCGTCTGTCGTCTTCGTGGTGGTTATGTTTGCGTGTGTCATTTGTTGGTTTGTGTTGCGATCACCTCCAGGCCGGACTCCGCGGAAGGCTTTTCTTCTTGTCCTTCGGCCGGCAGCCGTAACGGAGAGAAGGACTGGGAAAACGACTCCACCACCTCCTCCACCCCCTCCAACAATGAGTACACAGGTAGACACAGGCGTTTAGATAGTTTGTTTACATTTGCATAGCTGCTGAACAATGAAGGATTTTTTTTTGTCTGCAGTCTCACGCTTGTGCGTTGTTCCCACAGGACCTAAACTTTATAAGGAGCCCAGTGCCAAGTCCAACAAGCACATCATCCAGAACGCCCTGGCTCACTGCTGCCTGGCTGGCAAAGTCAATGAAGGGCAGAAAAACAAGATACTTGATGTATGTTTTGTATCTGTGTGTATAAATATATTTTTCCTGACTAAAAAGAGCGTAACAAACCGTAATGAGATGTTTTTTTGTTTTTCTTTTAATTTGCCACCACAGGAAATGGAGAAATCTGAAGCCAACAACTTCCTGGTGTTGTTTCGCGATGCCGGCTGCCAGTTCCGGTCCGTTTACACCTACTGCCCTGAAACCGAGGAGATCACCAAACTGGCCGGCATCGGCCCGAAAAATATTACAACAAAGATGATCGAAGCTCTGTACAAGTACAACTCCGATAGGAAGCAGTTCAGCAAGATCCCTGCCAAAACTATGTCCGCCAGCGTGGATGCCATTACCATCGCCAGCCATCTGTGGCAGACCAAGAAGCAGGGCACGCCCAAAAAACACCCCAAGTAGTGCCCAGATTGGGTTGGGCAGCATCCGGATGTGCTCCGTCGGAGCAAAAACACAGGACTTAGCGGATTTTGCTCTTTTATTGACATTCCCACTTTTAGAAATCACAACTGGAATGTAAGAACACGGGTGGGCCTCAGATTTACTGTCACAAAATCAGAGCTGGCTGTAACCATTTGGACAGCTTCAAACGAGCCCCAAGTGTGTACTCGTCAGCACGTGCATCAATGTTCTCATGTGCCAAAACAAAGAGAGAGATGGAATAAAATATTAAGAGGCGAACCAATGCCTTATCTAGTTGAACCACTGAAGCACTGAATGTCACGCCTCTGAAAGAGGCCGTTTGGTTTCTCTGAGTTGATCATGTGTGGCCTTATGCTTGTTTTGTGTCAGACGAACACACCGTGAGTGTTAACGTCATTTTGTCACCGCCTGTTGCGGCACAGATGAGGGATCAGCTTACCCCCCCCCCTCCGCCTCCCCATCTTTGATCAGAGGCATGTATTTTGTTTGTTTGTTTGTTTGTTTTTTGTACACGTGACTGAAAAACTTCTAGACGGTTAAATTTAGTGTCTGTGTGTGTTCGAATGAGCGTGTGTGTGTGTATAGTGAAGTGCCATGAAGAGTGAGGGTTCAAAATACCTCAGCTGGTGATTGCACTTACTTTCCGAATAAAATGATGAGATTATCGAGCATGTGCAGTACCATCAAACTGTTCTGGAAAGCACCTGCAATGGGCTCTTAATTTATTTCAGTGCGATTTCGATGCTTTGAAGATGATTTTTAAAAAAAGGCGTCTTAGATTTTATTCAGAGAAACATAATATGCTGTACCTGTATAAGTTAAATTAGTTTGTATATAATGGCAGTTCCATTAAAGATGAACGAGTCAGCTTGTGGTAGCTTTTTGAGTAGCTTTTATAATTTATCACGTGCGTGTCGGTATGTTGTCGTTCGGGGGCCTTTTGTTGTGCTACAGATGCAAAAAGTGTGACCGCTCAGCAGCGTCGCTGACGGGACTATCGTGAGTATTAGATTAGACGGACATCCCACACTGTGTCATCAGTCTGTGCAATTTAAGAGTGATTTCGAATGCTCGCCGTTGACCATGTTGCATTTGGATCTGACAAACACTACAAATGTCACTTTAATGTGGATAAACTGTTAAAGAGCGTGATCGCCCTCGAGGTCGTCCACAGTTGTAAATAACACTTGAGGACCCCGTCCACTGTTGTCCAGTCTAATCGAAGATGTTCCCTCTTCAGGACATGCTTATTACATTTCTTTTACGTTACTGTTACATTTTCTTTTTTAAAATCATACGTTCCTTCAGTATGTGTTTACACTGTACAGATATATTTTGGCATATAGAAGTATTTTTTGTAACAACATTTAACTGATGGAAGTGTGTACTAATGGAAGCAGTGCAGATGTTGAAGGAAGTGTGCTGAATGCAAAGTGTAGCTGAGAGTGCGTAAAGTCTCACACAGGCTTTAGTGTGGTATTGTATAAAACCCAGCAAGTATACAGAGAAAACCATAGTATTTTTTTTTTCCAACTCTGAACTCATTTTCTTTTCAATTAACAAACTATGCTCAACTGTTCATGGATCTTTTTTTTTTTTTGTGGTTGTTATTGTTTTTTCTATTCCTTTGAGCTTTATTAAATGCCAGCTATCAATAATACGTATGGTGTCTCATTACATGTCTGTGTCATAAAATGTGCTTTTTTTAAAATAAACTATCTGTGCTTGTCTTTGTGACGACTTAAGTAAAGTAAGAGCTGTAAAAATGCTCTTGTCCACAGTGTGATAATGATGAAAGTGCTGTGGGTTCATATGTGTGTGAAGGCAGACTAGGAAGTATGTTTGGCAGTATAGCGCAGTTTGGGGTCATTTGAAAAAGAATGCACTGCTTTGAAAACAAAACAAAATCCATTAGCAGCCAATTGTTTTGCTCTAGTTTGTGCAAAGAATTCGGTAGTACTGGTGGACCCGCTAACCCTGGTACTCTTGGGCAAATCCCAATTCAGCTTCATTGTTCTGGGCTTTGAGCACAGGTCTCACTAAAGGATGTTGAGCCCTCAAAGCTAATGTTTCTGACATTTTGCTCAGAAACATGCACGACTAGTCTGCACGAAGTACTCATTCTAGTACTGCTGCGCTGTTGATGCCCTTATATGGCCCTGTCCACTCTCCCTGTGTGTAATGGTCCACCTCATGGTTTCTCCTGCATCTTTGAGGAGCTGAATAAGCTGCATTTATTATCTTAGCCAGCAGTAGCATGGAAACTATCAAAAAGCAAAAGTAGAGAAAAATCCTTCAGGATAGATAAAGAGAAAAGGAAATATCTGTGGCCAGCACCTGCAAATCCATTCTCTTTTTGGGGGATGTCTTGTTATAACTTTCATTTGCACCAAAGCAGGTGAAATTCACAATTCACAGCAGATTCATAATGGTTTATGCTTCCTAACTGGATAGATCGATATCTCTGAAGTATACCTGTCTTGATGCAGGGCCTTCCTGCGATATTTGGATGGACTTTGTATTTACAGCATGCAATAAAAGAAGACCGACCAATCTTGCAGGACAAACAGGCCAACATACATTAAAGGTACAATACAGAGAATTAATAGTAATTATATACCGGTACAGTAAAACGTGGAATCAGTCTTCTTCTTCAACCTTTATGTTTGTGAACTTACCTGGAATCTGAATCAGTGAGGCTTTTTAACAGATAGACCTCAGAAAGTGAAAGTCAACAATATCAGATGTACTTTACCTTCCACCGATTCCCCTCAGTGGTGTGACTCCACTTTTATTTGTTCTTTATACAAATTCGAGTCAGAACCTCGATCAGGACTGACATATAATCAAATTTGCAGACGACTCGGTGATCATCTCTCTGCTTCATGATGCAGATCGTGACCCAGTTGTAGATGAATCTCAAGCATGGTGTGGACAGTCCCTTCTAAACATTTCATGTGTTTAAAATGAAGGAAATAGTTACTGATTTTAGATGAGTTGGAGAAGAGGTTGGAGCATATGGTTAAATTGTGTAGCAAAGTGGCAGGTACTGAAGCTAAATGATCCTGACCTCCTGTACAGAGGGAGGGTGACCCTTAAGGCAGAAAGGATTTGGGGTGATGGCACACATCCTTTGTTTCAGAGTATCAGCTGTTATCTTCAGGGAGGAGGCATTTTTTCCCTCGGTGCAGAAAAAAATCGATTTAAATTCTCATTTGTTCCTACGACTATTACGTTTTTTAATTATGTGATTTGTGGTTTTTTGGCTTTATGCTTTATGTGTGTTATTTATGCTGCTGACTACAAATCAAATGTCCCCCTCGGGGATAATAAAGCTTGTCTTGATCTTGAAAGCCATCTCAACCTTAAGCACTGCATGTCATGCATGTTGCACAAACAGACCACCAGAGGACCTCAAACACATCATCTTAATGCAGATGCTGTTAATTTCCGCCTTAACTGAAGTAATTAGTTTAATGAATAGATTGATTTCTTTTTTTCAATTATTATCTTTTGTTTATAGATAGATACGTCCCGTATACTTAAGGGGTCACACATGGTTTATTTATTCTTTTCCCTTTAAATATGTGTCTTTACGTTCAAGAAGGCAACAATAAAAAAGCCTCACTGTATGCACACCTTCCCTTCACAAAATGCCATTATCTCTATAATACACTGTTTAATGCTGCTGATTGTGTGAAGTTTGGCTGTTTGCTGGGTGGGTGGAGGCGTTGCCCCTGCAGGCAGCAGACAGGCAGGCAGGCTGGGCAGCAAACAGACCGCAGAGAAACATCCAGCAAGGAGGGGACACCATCAGAGACCAGGAGGAGGAGGGAGGGACCGACAGACACCGAAACAAACGGCGCTGACAATACCGCACCGGTACCGTCGTGACAGCGGCTGTGGGCAGCACGGAGCGGCGTTGAGGGCCAGCGTTTTCATCCCCTGTATGTTCAGAAACAGGTGAGGGTAATGGCAGCACGGCGGAGGGTTACTGTGGTCGGTGGGGACGCTGTCAGTGAGCACCCCGCCCGCCCAGCTAACTAGCGGATGATGCCTCTCTCCCCTCGGCCTGGCTGTAGCTAGTCAGCCAGTGAAATTAGTCAGCTTTGTATGAGCTCTGTCACTAACTAGCTGTTTGATGGTTTTGCCATAATCCGGAGGCTGGATCCAGGACCTATATAAAGCTAACAAGTAGCCTAAGCTTCTTATGCTGTTTGACTTGTGGCTTAGTGCCAGTGTTATTAGCTAGCCATCTCTCAGGCTAGCTTAGCGGTACTGCAGTGCGTGCGTGTGTTTGTGTGCCTGGCTGTGATTATCTGGAGTTTTATAAATGAAATCTCTCCGATCTCGACGACAGACAGCCATCAGTACACCAGAGGCTACATAGTATCACGACAGTCATATAACGTGCTGTTTTCTCCAGTGTAAACACAACCTCTGAGGCGGCACCTTAATGTTTTGACTTCAAACCTCTGTTTTGCCTGGCTTGTATGTTTTAGCGTGTTTAACACATTTACACAGACTGGCACACAATGACCTCTGTTTTTTTTTTTGTTTTTTTTTGGAAGACTTAATGCAAACCTGTAATCTCAGTCTTAAAATCTACTTTTTACAAGCTTCTGCATTTGTTTTGCCTGCTAAAAAAAAGGCCCTAAATTTGTTTCGTGTTTCATCCTGAAGTCACAGTGCCTGGCGGTGCATTAAAACTAATCCTACTATTTTATCCTCAGGAGGTGGACAGTGTTACCCAGAATCCAGTTAATATAATATCCAAAGCAGTGAGATTTGTTCTTTTCAAAGAGAATGAATCTTCTTCTTTTGCCTGCTCCCTTTAGCAGCTCCTCTTCCTCCATCTCATCCTGTCGCCACCATCCTCCTCTATCACGCCTACTCTGCATGTCCTCAGTTACTATATCCATGGCTACACTACATCCTGTAGTTTTCCTCCTTTGTCCGATATAGCCACGATCCCTCCTCTGCATATGTCCAAACCATCTCAGCCTTGCCTCTAACTTTGTCCATGGTTTTCACTCCCAACATTTTTTAATCATTTGCGTTTTGCTTTTTTTCATCCTGTAACTGGCAGCCCGTCGTCACAATGACAGCAGAGGAAACCATAAATGTGAAGGAAGTGGAGATCATCAAGGTGATCCTGGACTTTCTCAACTCCAGGAAGCTGCACATCAGCATGCTCGCTCTGGAGAAAGAGAGCGGCGTCATCAACGGGCTCTACTCAGACGACATGCTCTTCCTCAGGTAAGTGAACTCAGTGGTCACTCTGTACAGACTAGATACAGGTGTGTAAGAATTACTGTGAAGTAGGAGCAACGGGAAACTGTTCCAGTCAGTCCAGTAAGTTTAGTGTTTCTGATAGCATCTTCTATGGTGAGGATAGTGTAACACTGCACCTCCACACTGGATGTTTGAGTGCTGCTTTGGAAGTAAGCCAGTCTGCTGAATCTGAGTATTAAAATACATTTTAGTGGTTCACCAAATAGTGTCAAGTTTCTGTTATACGCTGTCATTTTGTTGTAGTAAACACAAGATATTCAAAAAACCCTTATGTTACTGTGAGTCTTCTCATTCATAGGTCACATAAATATTTTGTTTCAGGCAACTGGTCCTCGACGGGCAGTGGGATGAGGTCCTGCAGTTCATTCAGCCTCTGGAGTGCATGGACAAGTTTGACAGAAAAAGGTGAGGCTTCCTATTCTTTTTGTTGCAGCTTTTCACATATTCAGTTCATTTTACCTATTTGACACTTTGTCGCTGATAACTAAAACAAACAGGCGATGTAATGTTTTCCTAAGTGTATGTAAAAATAGTAAAAGGATTGAATTTTGCCACCAGGTTTCGTTACATCATCCTCAAGCAGAAGTTTCTGGAGGCTCTGTGTGTGAATAACGCCATGTCTGCAGAAGACGAGCCACAGCACGTAAGTCAGAAAACTAAAGACTGTCATCAAAACCTCCCAAACAAAACCTGAATTTCCAACCTTTATAACAGTCACGTGTTGTTAGGCTGTGAACAAGGTGGGCCACTGTCAAGATAAAAACAGGTAAAAACTGTTTGTAATGTGTATTGTTTGAAAAGGAAACCGTGGAAGTCTGCTTAAAAGCTCTCTGCTTATAAGTGGGTGGGTTATGTGTGTGGGTCTGTGTTTAATGGTGGCAGCACTGACATTTAAGGAGTGACTGATGGCCACACTGCGGTCAGAGATTATCTGGATTAAGCTCTTTATTTGCTCCTTTGATGAAGTTGTTTGCTGTTGTGGATAAAACACTTAACAAAGATCATCTGTCCACCTGTGACAGCTGATTATGACTGTTTTCTCCCTCCTTGTTCTGGATCGCGTACACCAGTAGGACAGCGTTAGGAACAAGGATCAGGAACACATACTTTATAGGCTAATGCTACAGTGGTAAAGTGGTTAGCACTGTTGCCCCCCAGCAAGAATGTTCGGGGTTTGACTTCGCCGGCCGGGGGCTTTCTATGTGGCGTTTGCATGTTCTCCCTGTGGTTGTGTGGGTACCTCGGCTTCCTCCGACATCATGTTTGGTTAATAGGTCGTAGTTACAAATGAGAGCATGAATGGTGGTCTGTCTCGATGTGTTAACCCTGCGATGGACTGGCAGCCTGTCCAGTGAGTACCCCACGTTTTGCCCAGTGACAGCTGGATTGGGTCAAAGGAAAATAGATGGCTGGATTTCTTGGTAATAGATGGATTATTACATGTACCAGACCAAAAGAGTCCAGACATATTTAACTTTCAGAGCCTTTTTAAATGTTTTGCAGAAATAATAGGTACATAATAAAATATTCACATTGTCATAAACTCCCCTGCTGAGGCTATAAAAGATTCATATGAGAGATGATTCTAATTTCTCTGTTAGTCCTAATTGCTAATAATTTGAAGTCAGACACACACTATTTTGTATAATCAGACAACCAGACTTGCGTGAAAACTCCATCTATCCTCTCAAATTAGACTAGCTGTGAGTCTGCTGTAACATGATGTAGTTGTGGATGCTGCCGGTGATGCTTTGTCGGAGCCATCGTGTCCTGTTAAACTGGATTAGCTCACACTTCTTTGGACATCTGTGCATATCGTGTACTAGTGAGCATGCTCACAGTTAATATTGTAGCTGGGGGTGTGTATTACTTGTGTAACGGGCCTGATTGTGTGCTGGTGGTGATTTTTCAGCGCGTGGCAGTATGACAGGGCAAAAACCAAAACAATAGTGTGCTCTTTGAGAGAAGCTTGATTCTGTTTTTTAGAGGAATCGTCTCCTTGATCAGCTGTTACATAAAAATATATATTTCATGTGTTTTCAGCTGGAGTTCACCATGCAGGAAGCTGTCAAATGCCTCCACGCCCTGGAGGAGTTCTGTCCGTCTAAAGACGACTACAGCAAGCTGTGTCTGCTCCTCACACTCCCTCGCCTCACAAATCATGCTGAGTTCAAGGCACGCAGTCTGCTGTTACAGAATAAGACTTGCATAATATCGAAGCAGCAGGAGGAAACTGTGTATGCGTTTTCTTTTGTGTCTCATTTCTCTGTTGGCGTCCCCTCAGGACTGGAACCCGAGCACGGCCAGAGTTCAGTGTTTCGAGGAGGCCTGCACCATGGTGGCCGAGTTCATCCCCGCAGACAGGAAGCTGAGTGAGGCTGGATTCAAGGCCAGCAGGGATCGACTATTTCAGCTGCTTCTCAAGGGAGTCCTCTATGAGTGCTGTGTCGAGTTCTGCCAGGTGTGAAACGCTAAAATTTAACGTAAAGACTGCGGCCTGAGTGAGTTTGTGCCTCTAACCGGTCTTTCTCGGACGCTTATGTGCAGAGCAAAGCGACGGGCGAGGAGATCACAGAGAGCGAGGTCCTCCTGGGCGTCGACATGCTGTGCGGAAACGGCTGCGACGACCTGGACCTGTCGCTGCTCTCCTGGATGCAGAACCTCGCCCAGACCGTCTTCTCCTGCGCCTTCGAACAGAAGCAGCTCAACATCCACATAGACCGCTTGGTCAAGCCTGCTAAGACCGGCTACTCTGATCTCCTCACCCCGCTCATCAGCAAACTGTCGCCATACCCCTCCTCCCCCCTTCGCCGCCCGCAGTCCGCTGACACCTACATGTCGCGCTCCTTGAACCCAGCGCTGGACGGGCTGTCCTACGGGCTCTCCGGCCAGGATAAGCGAGCGAGCGCCGGGGAAATAGCGCCGGGTAAAGGGGTCTCTCCGATGTCCCACTCGTTTGCCAACTTTCACTACCCGGGAGCAGGAGGGCAGAGCTTGAGCAGGAGTCTCATGATGGAGAGCTCTGACTGCCACAGCATCTTTGAGGAATCCCCTGAAACGTAAGAGCTTAGATTTGGAGCTTAAACAGATTTCCTGTCTCTAAATCTTTTCCTAGAGATACAAAAAGGGAGCAAGATCCATTATTGATGTTGATTTATTTGATTGATTTTCTGGGGTTTGTGTTTTCTCGGTGAAGGTCGAGGACAGACACACCTGTGGATAAGATGATGGGCTCAGCTGGAGCCCAGAGCACGCGTCCTGCCTCAGCTCCGGGCGAAGACGCTCCGTCAGCTGGTTCCGCTGACAGGAATGAGGTAAACATCAGCGACTTTTGCTTTTTGAACTGGTTAGGCCTGTTGCATGCGAACACATTTCCAAACAAGTGCTGTGTTTTATTAAGCTTCCCTAATTGTTTTCTTTCGTTAATGGGTGTTGCCTACAGTACCAGTTCCGATTAGTCTGTATTTGGTATTTTAGTCTTTCTTCACTTCTGATTGGCAGCCCAGGCTTTGTTATCTAGTGTGGATGAGAGTGCATTAAGGAAATCGTACATACACATTTGTATTATGCTTTCTAAAGTCATCACTAGCTATTTAAACATTAATAATATGCTCTGTAACGATTGCTTTGTGTAACCAATGAGGCTGGTGGATCCAGGTCATGATCCGGGGTCAGTGGGGACATGTGGCTCGAGAGCCTAGGAGCACAGCCACAAAAATGATTCATCAGTGCCCTCGTGTTGCCCGTAAACACATCGTGAACACAGTATCTGTGTCTGTCTGTCACATGGTTTCTATTCTGGGGCCTCTTGTGCAGCTCAGTGTGAAGCTGGTGCTTTCCTCTGCCTTCCCCGTCACCTTGGAGACACACAAAGAGGCCAGAAACAGAAGCAGACTTTGGGACCTCTGTGATCTCACAGTCACGTCCCTGCCCTCTCTTCCTCTCTGTTCTCTGTCCCTTTTTCAAGCTGGCGCGATGCCAGCGTCTCTGTCCTCCCCCCCCAACACCCGGTAGGTCTGTTCCCATCAGATTGCGAGGACAGGAAGCAGAGGACAGAGGGGGGAAATGATCTGTCCTCAGCTCCCTGTCTGACCCCTCCTTCCTCCGCCGATACCTGAACTGGCGCGGAGCAGGGGTCACATGATCGCACTTCTGCCTTTGAGCAGTGTTGAAGCTGCCTGGTGTGGCTTGGTTTGTGCAGCTTTTTCTTTTAAAGCGTTACATTAGAACAGTTTGCATTGTTTCTGCGTGAGTTTGGATGTCCACTGTAGAGATGCATTATGTTGAATATAATGGAGAGCACATGTCAAAAAAAGTAATTTGTTTTTGGCTGATATTTCGACCCGGTTACTAGTTTTTAGATCAAACTGCTCTCAACAAGTTTTGTGATTTCATTTTTTTCTTTAAAGTTTTTTTTTCTTTTACTCCTCAGCTGTTAAAGGCTGCTGGTGTATTATTGTCACCTTACGGGGCGGGGGGGCGTAATCACCCAAGTTTGTGAATACGGTAACTCAAGGATGAGGCGACGTAGGATCTTCAGATTCATACCCTAGAATCTCAGTGACGTTTTCAGTCAGAGGTCATGATTTCTGGAGCGCATCGCTGCATAGTCTTCACAAATTCAGTGTACTTGAGAAGGCAGACATCTGTGACATCAGCTGATCTACAAAACTGTGCAATTCAGTGTGAAACAATCTGAATGGAAATCTGATTTCACATTGAACTGAACCTTTAAAATGAATGAAGCAGTAGAAGAAAGTCACGGTTGATGAGTAGCTTCATCAAAGCCACCATCATCCTGTAAACTTCATTATGGTGATCCTCTGCGACGGCAGGCCGGGTCAGGTCTGGTGGAAACACATTTTGATTTCATGGTTAGTTGCAACACCATGTTTTACAGGTTATCCCTTCAATTGTGTGCAACATGATGCAGCTCAATAAAAAGAAAGGTATAAATAATGTGCTTCTAATATTAAATATTTATGCTTCATTCCCAGCTTCGTGACTCAACAGAGAAGTATGAGGAGTTTTATCGCCAGCGCCTCCGCGTGCAGCAGCACCTGGAGCAGAAGCAGCAGCAGAGGCAGATGTACCAGCAGATGTTGCTGGAGGGAGGGGTCCAGCAGGAACCCCCGCCCAGCGACATGCAGCACAGCCTCACAGAGAAGTTCCTCAACAGGTACGAACGCAGCGAACGAAATGACTTAAATGCTCTTTGCAAGATGAGGAATGTGCGTTCTCTGTTTGCACATTCAGCCAGAGGTGTGGTTCACACAAAGAAACAAAAGCAGGCGCATAGACATGGACGGGTGGCGTCTACTTCAGCACTATAATCATGCTGTTTACAAGATCTTTTATTTGTTGAAGCTCATCCTTTCATTCACATAAACTTTCTTATTCTAAAGTCCCGTCCTGCTTTTTTGTATCAAGTCAGCTGAGTCAGCTAAACTGCTGACTCAGCCTCCGCAGGTAACGGCCTGATTTTCAGGGCTTCCTGTTGGGTTTTGGATATTCAGGCCAAGACTTCCTGTTTAGTCTGCCGGCCATTGTTTTCAAATGTGGATAAAGTGATAAAAGTTAATAAAGCAGATTCTCCATTAAGCATTAGTCAAGTTTGAATTTGAGCAAATGCAGTCTGCCTTTAGCTCGACTTTATGCCTGCACATGACCAAAACCTTCAAATGTTATCGGTCATTAGAGCCTAACAGATGATAAATGGAAACCAGAAAGCTTCCAATACTAAACATTTTGCTTGCTTGCAGATTCTTCTTATTCATATACAGATATCTGTCTGTAGACTGCATAACCAAAGCATTTTAAAAACTGAATTCTTGTTATTTCTTGTTATATGCAGTTGATTTATTCATTTAATCTCATCCAGCAGCTATATATATAGCCCTGCAGATGTTTCACTGTAAACACGTGAAGGGTTGGGTTGTACCAACAGTGCAATGCAGTAGCTTAAACTGGGGAGAATGGACCAGATCCCCAAAATGAGACTTCATCTCACAGTTCGGGGAAATATGGTACAGACAGCTGTTCAGTCGTATGGCGCACTTGTCATGGTAGTTGTGGGACAGCTTGCTGAAGTGAAGCCTGCATGACATTGACCGTCGTATAACAGCAGAGGAGCAGCTGTCAGAAAAGGTTAACATATTAAGGCTCTTAAAAACGACGAGTCCCATGTGGATTCGCTTGCATGGCACACCCCCTCCTGTCTATACTGCACCATCTGCTCTAATCAGCTACAACATAACACATGGGACCACCACCTCATGTGTGTTTGTGTTGTACACAATATTAGACACAGTTTCCTCTCAAAACTGCAGTAGCATTATGTTATATGTATATTTTTACTGTATGTCCTCTAACCACAAAACCACTTCAGTTAGCTTCAGCTCAGTGATTAAAAATGAGGTGACAAAATAGTTTTTTTGGGGTTTTTTTTCTTCTAGCGGGACAAAAGCTCTTTGATTTGCCCTCAGAGACATCCTCCCCATCCTCCCTCTCCCAGTCTACGTAGCACTCTACATTATTCACAAGGCTAGCTGTGAATAATTACATTAATATTTGAGTTTTCCTTTGTAGTTCTAACCAGGCTGTCGGCCTGCAGGTACAAGTCTTTAGTAGAAAGAAGAAAACAAGTTGCCTCTTTGGAGACAGAACTCGTGTGTTTGGTTGTTGCAGGTCCATCCAGAAGCTGGAAGAGCTCAACGTGGGGATGGAGAATTTGGGAGAAGAGGTAAAATCTCTGACGCAGCAGTGTAATGGCAACGGGAACACGCCCGCCTCCGAGGACAATAACAACCCTCCGTCTGTAACCCCCGAGCAGAGCCGGACCCAAGGGGGAGGGGTGCTCAGCAGCACCCCGCAACGCACCGTAGGGGGTCGGCCTGTGCCGCCTCCAAATGAGTCCCCTGTCGCCACAATGAGGTTTGTGTGAGTTTGCTTTTGTTTGTTTTTCTTTTTTAAACCTGCTTGTTGAATTACTGGCCCCTGTTTTTTGTTTGTTTGTTTTTTACAGTGGGCAAAAACCAAAAGGAGGCCAACAAGGTGACTCTCCAGGCTCTTTATCCCGAATTAAAGAGGTAGGGACGGACACACACACACACACACACACACACACACGGTGACAGCAGAATGACAGCCGTCACTAGAAACAACAGTTATGACAGACCTGGTGTTAATAATCAGTTTCAGGTTGTTACTCAGGTGTTACCCTTAGTTTAGCTCTGACCTTGTGCGGTGTGATTTTAAAGTTCAGCACATTCTCTGTTGTTTACATTGCACTTTAAAATGATCCAGTGTAATGCTAATTTGGCTAAGCGGATTATAACAGTTTTATCTGAATGGCAGTGATGTCACAGCAGTATGCATGTCATAGGGTAGAGAAGATCAGGTGAGATTACGGGGCTGTAATCTCATTGCTAATGTGTGTTTTTCGTATATATGGCGTGTTTTCAGGGTGACAAACCAAAAAGCCTGTTTGTACCGGTGCATTCTTTGGAAGACACTCAGGCTATTCGAGCCGTTGCCTTTCACCCGTCTGGAGCGCTGTACGCTGTGGGCTCCAACTCCAAAACGTTACGCGTGTGCGCTTATCCAGAGACGCTCGACACGAGGTAACAAAAATCAAAAAAGTGAATGTTAAATGTTAACAGATGTTCTCTTTTCCATTTTTTTTGTTTAGTATGATCCATCACATCTCTGTTAAAATCCATCTTTTTGTTTCTGATCCTTTAAAATATGAGTGAAAAGTAGACTTTTTAGTACCTTTTAATGACCACATAACAGCCAGCAACTAGATGTGCAATACACATTTTTCCCTAGCGACTGGTGGTTGCCATGTGGTCACTGATCTGTCAGTTAGCTTATAAACCTCTCTTCCATATTAGTTAAAGTTAGTGTGTAAATAGTTGGAAAGTTCAAACCAGTAACTGTTTATTTTCATCTCTGCATACAGTAGCTGACCACCTTTTCCTCTCCTCAGTGGTTCAAGTCCAACAAAGCAGCCGGTGGTTCGCTTTAAGAGGAACAAACACCACAAAGGGTCCATCTACTGTGTGGCCTGGAGCCACTGTGGGCAGCTGCTGGCTACAGGCTCCAATGACAAATATGTCAAAGTGCTGCCTTTCAGCGCAGAGACGTGCAACGCCACAGGTAAGCGTCCTCAGCGTGAATGTGTGGTGGTCGTCCCGTTTGTGGCATTGCCAGTGTTCTCATTTTTGTTTATTTTTGTGCATCCTAGGCCCAGACCTGGAGTTTAGTATGCATGACGGTACCATAAGAGACCTGGCCTTCATGGAGGGGCCTGAAAGTGGAGGAGCCATCTTGATCAGTGCCGGGGCCGGAGACTGTAACATCTACACCACAGACTGCCAGAGAGGACAGGGTCTGCACGCCCTCAGTGGACATACAGGTAACTGCTCCATCCCTCCATCTGTCCAGCACAAATCAAAGTGGAAGTCAGAGAGAGTAAGGATGATGCTGAAAGTGGACAATGTGTAATCTCTCTTCAGGACACATCCTGTCTCTGTACACGTGGGGAGGCTGGATGATCGCTTCCGGCTCTCAAGATAAGACGGTGCGTTTCTGGGACCTCAGAGTGCCCAGCTGTGTGCGGGTAGTGGGAACTGCTTTCCATGGCTCAGGTTTGGCTCGCATCATGTGTTTCACCTCTTAATATAGCAAGTGTTTGGGAATTGTGAGCCAAGATACCAGAAATAGTAAATGTTATCATTGGTTCTGTTGTTCTCAATTTGAAAATAATGACAGTTCATACAACTACACCCCTTCTTTACTACACAGGGAGTCCAGTTGCCTCAGTCGCAGTTGATCCTAGTGGCCGTCTCCTAGCAACAGGACAGGAAGATAGCGCATGCATGCTGTATGACATCAGAGGAGGACGCATCGTCCAGGTGTACCGGCCGCACACCAGTGACGTTCGATCCGTTAGGTTTTCCCCCGGAGCGCACTACCTGCTCACTGGTTCCTATGACACAAAGGTTGTGGTCACCAACCTCCAAGGTATGTCTACCTTCAGAGCGCATACAGTGGTTGCATCTGGATATGATGTGGTATAGCTACAATAGTTAAAACATCTGTAACAGCACTTAATTCAATAGAATCACTTCAAACAAAGTTTAAAAATGTTTCATTAAAAAGCCACTCTTGTTTGATCACTAATATCTGGGGAAAAAAACAATCTTTTGAGTCTTAATAATCAGAAGTAATTGTAATAATAATAATTATAATGATGATGATAAGTATGCCTGTTTTATAGAAGGTTTCCCCACCTCCTTTAAATAAAATATAAATTAAAAGGATGATTGTGAGATTGGCTCCAGGTCTGCCACTAGAGGGGACTGAGTTACATCATAGGTGCATCACATTTGGACGTGTCCAAGTTTTAACCATTGAGCTGTAGATTCGAGGTGAAGTTGGAAGAATTTGGAGGTAATACTCCTTTATCATTATTCCATTCACTTTGTGCAATGTCCCAACATTAAACAACCCAGAGCAGGATGCTACCACCAGCATGTTTGACAGCTGGTACAGTGTTCTTAGGGTTGAACGCCTCCAAATATACTGCACCTCTTGTCACTGTGGCCAAATAACAATCTTTGTCTCGTGTGTCAGTAAAGAGTTTGGTTTGTCCATGTGGGCAGCTAGTTAAGATGTCGCAGATCCTTTAACACCACATATCAAAAGATTTAAGAGTGTATGTATATATTTGAGGCCACATGTTAGCGCGTGTCTGATGGTTTTCTGCCTCCTCCTGCGTCTCTCTAGGTGACCTGACCAAACAGCTGCCTCTGACCGTGGTGGGAGAACACGGTGACAAAGTGATCCAGTGCCGATGGCACACACAAGACCTGTCCTTCCTCTCATCCTCTGCTGATCGCACTGTCACACTTTGGACACACAATCCATAACACACACACACTTGTATGCGCACACACACACACACATACACACAGAGCCAGTTGTTTCTATCTGACACATTCCTCTAAAATATTACTGCTCCTCTGCATTGTAAACACTGACCCACCCTTACACACACACACACACACACACTCATAGGTACACAAACTGGTGAACAAGCCTTTCCCTCCTGTCTGTAGTAAAGCAAATGGGACTCACACCTGGGACACATCAAAAGCACACTTGTTGCATGTTCTCCTTTCTTGATCACCACACTGAGGAGTAAAACTGCAGGATTCTTCGTCGTTCTTCGTCCTGTAATTCGCCCTGCGTTTTTGCTCTCTGCTCACACCAATCAGTTGCTGCATGTCCTTTTTCCTAAAGGGATGAGTAGGAGAGACAGGACAGGAGTGCTTTGTTCATGATGGTGCCTTCCTTGAGTTCTCAGTTTCCATAACAAAAAACAAAAAATCAAAAAATGGTCCTTTTTTTAAGATCAAATTTTGTTAAGTCATTTTGAGAATCATACATTCCTCTTTTTGCATATCATTATTTTTACAGCTGGTGAGACGCTGCTATTGTTTAAGAAAGACAAAAATTTGATGTAAAATGTAGTTTTTCCAGTGTTTCAGTAGTGAGCTTTTCCTCTCGGGAGGCCGAATCTATGGAAGTCAGGCTATCTTGTGCCTCCCCGTGGGGTGTCTAACATTACTGTATGCACTGTATTACTGCAGCTCCAACTGTGTAAACGAGCTAGTGTGTTTAAATTTAAAATCAGTGTTTGTTTTTTTGTTTTCTTTCTTTTTTTTGCACTGAAGCTGTTCCGGTGTCTTTGCAGTGGCTTGCTCGTTACTATGTTAGTATCAAAGGGAAGTACAGCATGTGATTATTGGTTGGGCGCCCTTGCATACAGTTTGGATTTGGCTGTGCTCAAAAGCTTTGGCTTGTCTACTGCTGTGTGTGTGTAATATCAGTAGATGGCAGTCTTTTCCCCAAAAAAGGGTCTGACCGTATGCACAATGGAATCTGGATGGACGCACGGGTGTTTTGATATTTATTTAGAACCAGTGTTTGGGGCATATGCATATTATTTTATTTTTTATTTTAACCTGCGCACTTTGTCCTTTTAACATCGTCTTCTAATATTGACTTACTTGCAGAGATGCATATTTAAGTTTATATGTTAATGTATAGTATATATTATTTTAACAACGAAGGCCAAACTAATACGTACATAGATGTATTTATTTCAGTTGTGTTTATGTATGTACAGTTAGTTTGTTTTTGAAATGCTAGTGGCTCTTGTATTAAGCCTTGTTTTTAAAAGTGACAGATGAGTTCAAGCTAACTGAAGTCTGACTGCTGGTACGTTCAATAAAGTGTCTTTTACACAAACTTTGCATTTTGTGTTTTGCTTTTCTTCTTTGGATTAAATACTTGATGCTGAACATTTTAAAATAAGTCACGATGGCTACATGAACAGACATGTTTTATTCCTCTGAACTCATAATATTTAGTACAAAAGGGTAAGAGACACGGACTGTACATGGGTTAAATCCATACTTTATCAGTTTGCTCATAGTAGCTTTTGTAAGTGCCTCCTGTGCGACTTCAGGAACTTAACTCAAACAAAAACCTCATACAAACAGACACACTCTTCTCAATGAGATTCATAAAGCACCATGGTCACTTTTTCATGAAAAGTTTCCACAGAAATCAGAACAGATCACACCTTCAAACATTTACATTTTACTTTCAACATGGCACAACTCAGAAACTCCATGAAATCACATCAAACAGACACGCACAAGACACGCACACTGCCATGTATGCCACATCTGTAAAGGGCTGTAATACATGAAAAGAGTGATTTAAAACACCACTATGAGTATACCTCTACTACTTCATAGCAGTGGGACGGCAGTTCATGGGACAAGAACAATAAATACAAACATACCTGCAGTGGTGTATTTAAAAATACACAGGGTGAAGTGAGAGTATGCAGCAGTACAGAATTATTAAAAACAATTATTAAAAAAACACTTTTGTCCCTGATGCTACTCTGAGTTCATCTTTGTACAAGCTGTGCGAAAAGTCCTTGTTAATCTGAGTTCCCCCGCCCCCCCCATACTGTCAACTGCATACAGTGCTGATAATGCTATGTGTTGTCCTAAAGGACAAGGAAGTGATCACTGGTCCATCACGATACTGTCCACACCTTCATTAAACAAAAGACCTCACAGTCCCTTTAGTGCTTTGTTTAGTTGGAGCTTGGCCTAGATGCAGCGTTTGCAGCAGAAGGCAGGGTGACGCGTTGTTCGTCCATTCGTTTGGCCTGCGACCGCATGATGAGGCTGAAGAAGTCCTCATCTGGTACGGTGGGCCCTCGGACTGGAGGAGGGGGAGGAGCACACCGCTGGTCATCCAAACGGGAGCCCTGGAAGGAATACGGTGAAAGCAAAGAGTATGACTTTGATGTCTGAGTAACAGGATGTTTATAATCTTGTTTCTAACTTTTTTCTTTGTAATATACTTTGCTCCTTTGTGCAGCTGATCTCTTGCAAGGTAATAAGAATCCTGCCTCCTGACCTCTGGCTACAACAAACAGACATCACTCTTCTACTTATGTTACACTGGCTTCCTGTTACCTTCAGCATCCACTTCAAAAACATCATTCTTGTATAGGATGGATGCCACTGCTGGGACTCTTTAACTACACAATTATTTTAAATAGGAGCTAAAATATTTCTGTTTATACCGGTGTTTGAATATCAAGTGTGCCCACCCAGCACTATATAAATGTGTATTAGCAAACTATTCAGTAAACTATGCTCTTTCTGTTACCTGGCACTTGACAAGCATATCAAAGAAGTCATCATCAGGCTCAGCGCTGTCAGCGTTGGCCATCAGGTGGCTGAGCACGGCCTGGTTGCTGTTTTGGTTGAGCCTGAGTCCTGGCAGGCTCCCCCCTGCTGCTGATGACTCCTCTAAGCGCCTGCCCTGAGCGCCTGACACATTGGCAGACTCTGACATGGCTACAAATGAAAATAAATAAGTACGCAAATTATAAATTATTTTAACAGTGGTTATATTTTTTGTGTGGGTGGATTGCATGGACCTACATTTCCTGATGGTCCTGGGAGGCGACTCTGGGCCGCTGTTTAGCGATAACCTGCTGCCTCGGTCCTGTATCGAACATCGCTGGTCATCCATGCGGTTGCTCTGGAATCGGCTCAGCAGGTCAAAGAAGCCGTCGTCTCCGAGCATGTCGGGGCTGAGTCGCTGGAAAACAAAAACAAACAACTTGAAAAATAAAAATAAAAATAAAACAGCAAAAGTTGTTTGATCTTGAATACATGAGTTCTCTCTGAGTGATCTTCAAATGAATTCCCCAGGTCTGCGTACTTTTTGTGGTCCCTGTGCAGGTGGCTGACTGGTATCCAGGGTATTGCTGGTGTCCTGGAGGACCTTACTGGAGCTGCCAGACTTGTACTTCTTCCCTCGCAGACGACCAACAAAGAAGAGCTTGGAGGAGCTCTTAGCCAGCGAGGGTTTGGACTGTTTGGTCAAGATGTCGCTGTTCCACTTTTGACCCTTCAGCACAGAAATGGATCACAATCATCACAAGTTCAATAGCAAAGGGTGATGTAACAAGAAGCCCTTCTTGTAGATGAGGTGTGAGCAGAGCAGTACAGTGGAGCAGTTCCTACATTTACTTTGTCTGGAGTGAGCTTCACCAGCTCCAGGTTCTCCATGCTATGTCGTTTGCTCATCCTGGGCCTGGCTCCTGTAAAACAATAACAATGTTACGTAATCTACACATTCAAAGCATCTGAAATATTATAGCAAGGGGCATAGGGAAGGTCACACAGTTTTTACCGTGCAGGCTGTAGTCGATATCCTTATTTTCGGAAACAGTGGAGGTATTTGTGCTGTAGCTCAAACCCAAAAGTGTCTGGAGATCAGATACATTCATACGAGCTGTCAGCTCCCCGCTTCTGTCTCCAGTCTGAAAACAACAACAACAACAAAAAAACAGAAGGAACAAACCAACTGTTAATTTTACTGCTGAAGGATTTCTGTATCTGTTCTTAATAAGTTTGCTTTGAGTACTTCTGAAATGCTTTGCTGTGAAGATAGTATGAGCAGTGCATACCTCTCTGCAGATCTCCAGGTGTTTCTCAGCAAAGTGCATGGCTTGGTCATGGTTTCCCAGTGCAGTGTAGGCATTTCCAAGACTCCAGCACGCACGGCCCTCACCAATCCTACAGAATGAAACCATACATAAGCAAATACCATTTAACTGTGGCATAGTTACGTCAAAAGAAGCATCATAAAACCTTGTGTTTGCATCTGTACCTGTCATTGAGGTCTTGAGCTATGATGAGATGTTTGAGGTGATAGTCTATGGCTCTCTCATAGTCCTGCAGAAGTGTGTAGGTGTTGCCGAGACTGTAGCAGGCCTGAGCTTCCACGGCTCGGTCCTTTAACTGCCTCGCCAACTGCAGTGTCTTCCTAACAAGCAATCAGACAAGATGCTTCAAACAATGCACACTGGCTTTATGTTTTCTTCATACAATACAGGCCTGCTTTCCCAGAAGGAGCTCATAGGAACATAATATGATGCATAAATACAATGATAGAATTTTAGATATTGCCACTATTGTGTAAGGAAAAGTGTCTAAAAATGTTACAGTTATTTGATAATTCAATTTCCTCTTTTTTTGGGGGGACATGAGACGATCATGGTGACAATGTAGGATTAAGTGATTAAGGATCCAGTCACACAGGCCTAGAGACCAAATGCGGCCAACAACAACAAACATTAATACACATATGTAGGTGTGGCTTACTTGTAATGTTCAGCTGCCACTTCAAATTCCCCCAAAAAGATATACGCATTCCCCAAGTTGCAGTAAGCTCGCCTCTCTGCTGATCGATCCCCAAACTCCTTAGCAATGAGCAAACGCTGAAACAGAAACACTGAATTTCAACATTGTATTTAAAAAGGCGTAATAAGTAACTTACTAAAAGAAAACATCATCGTGGATACCAAAAGACACTTTTCAGAGTTCACCCTCACCTGTTCATGAGAAGCTACGGCTTTGCGAAAGTTTCCCAGCAGGTAGTGTGTGTTGCCAAGGTTGCCATAAGTTCGACCCTGAGCAGCTCGATCTCCAAGCTCCTTCACTATCGCCAAGTTTGCCCTGACAATGCATATGCAATCAAACGGTCACCCAGCAGCTCGCTTTGTAATACACTGGATACTTGACACAACAGTCAAAGTAACAGAACTTGTTATTTCTAATGTTAAATGACTCTGATTAAATCACACGCTCTCCTTCTTACTCATAGTACTCTGCTGCTTTCCTCAGTGCCATCATGACATCTTCTGGGAAATCTCCGGGCTCAGCTCCGCTCCAGCAGATACTTTTGCCTTTGGCATGGTACACATTTCCAAAATTATAGAGTGCCCTCGCTTGCCCCACCTAACCGGAAACACGAGTGGTGAAGGTCACTTTCTTCTGAAACTCTCAAATACATGAATACAAATATCTGACTTTTATTCTTTATTGCTTATTTTCTCGAATACGTTGCCTCACCTTGTCATTCATGTCTCTGGCTATGTCCAAGTGCCTCTGACAGCAAACCACAGCCTCATCGAACCGACCCAGCACCTTCAATGTGTTGCCGAGGTTACCGCTGGCTTTGGCCTCTCCGACCAGGTCGCCAATTGTCCTGAACAAGACACGTCACTCTGTTAATAAATAAACATTGTGCTGCACTCAGCAGGGCCTTTTACAGAGCTGTTTCTCATGTGTCCAACCTCGTCAAGGTGAGATCGTGCCGGTGGAACTCCAAGGCCTTGGCATAGTCGTGCAGGTGGAAGTAGGCATTTCCAAGCTGGCTGTAGATGGCACTGAGCACCTGGAGGTCCTCTGTACCCACTTGGATGGCAGCTTCAAAAAAGGAGACGCCTGCTTTGTAGTCACCCACCTTACAGAGGCGCTCACCCTCCAGCGCCAGCTCCAGGCAGGACACCTCCATCCTAAAGAAGAGAGGAGCACAGTCTGGACTTCTCTTCTTCAAAAACATAAACTCTAAAATCTCCTCGTCCTCTAATCGACAGCCAAATGGCTCCGTTCACGACTGAAAAACAAAACGTCCTTCGAAGCAAAGGCTTTCAGCAAGTAGGAATGTTTAGCCACTTCCTTCCATCTACAGAAAACAATAGAGCGTGTTTATTATAGTAGATCTCACATCCTTTTGACCTACCCCAGAAAGCAAAACAGGTTCCTTTTCCAATCAGCTGAACCAAAACTGAACCTTTGATATTCAGTATTTGTAATGTTTGCTGCTGTTGCTTTAGAACTTTAAACACCTTATAACA